CGCTCGTGGTGTTCCGTCTTCCCAGCACTCTGTCATATAAAGCTTTGAAACTACTGACGGTCTTGGCCTCCACCACCTTCTCACTTAACTTGTTCCAACCGTCTACCACTATTTGCGAAGGTGAATTTTCTTATATTTCTTCGGCATCTGTGTTTAGCTAGTTTAAATCTATGACCTCTTGTTCTTGAAGTGCCAGATCTCAGGAAATCTTCCCTGTCGATTTTATCAATTCCTGTTACTATTTTGTATGTAGTGATCATATCACCTCTTTTTCTTGTCTTCTAGTTTTGGCATGTTTAATGCTTCTAACCTCTCCTCGTAGCTCTTACCCTTCAGTTCTGGGAGCCACTTAGTAGCATGTCTTTGCACCTTTTCCAGTTTGTTGATGTGCTTCTTAAGATATGGGCACCACACAACAGCTGCATATTCTAGCTTTGGCCTAACAAAAGTCATGAACAATTTCTTTAGTATATCGCCATCCATATATTTAAATGCAATTCTGAAGTTAGAAAGCATAGCATAGGCTCCTTGCACAATATTCTTTATGTGGTCCTCAGGTGATAGTTTTCTATCTAGAACCACTCCTAGATCTCTTTCTTTATCAGAATTCTTTAAAGATTTCTCACATAATATATAGGTTGTGTGGGGTCTATGTTCTCCTATTCCACATTCCATAACATGACATTTATTAACATTAAATTTCATTTGCCAAGTGGTGCTCCATATACTTATTTTGTCCAGGTCTTCTTGAAGGGCATGACAATCGTCTAAATTTCTTATCCTTCCTATTATCTTAGCATCATCAGCAAACATGTTCATATAATTCTGTATACCAACTGGTAGATCATTTATGTACACAATAAACATCACTGGTGCAAGAACTGAACCCTGTGGTACTCCACTTGTGACATTTCTCCATTCCGATACATTGCCTCTGATTATTGCCCTCATTTTTCTATCTAGTCAGAAAATTTTTCATCCATGATAGAAGCTTACCTGTCACCCCTCCAATATTTTCCAGTTTCCAGAACAACCTCTTATGTGGAACTCTGTCGAAAGCCTTTTTTTAGGTCCAGATAGATGCAGTCAACCCAACCATCTCTTTCCTGTAATATCTCTGTGGCTCGATCATAGAAACTGAGTAAATTCGATACACAGGATCTTCCAGATCGAAAACCATATTGTCTGTCTGATATTATATCATTTCTCTCCAGGTGTTCTACTAATTTAGTTTTGATTAGTTTTTCCACTACTTTCACTATTACACTTGTCAGTGATACAGGTCTTTAATTGAGGGGGTCTTCCCTGCTGCCACTTTTGTAGATTGGAACTATGTTAGCCTGTTTCCACACGTCTGCTACGATTCCTGTACACAGGGATGCCTGAAAGATCAGGTGAAGTGGAATGCTGAGCTCAGATGCACATTCTCTCAGAACCCATGGTGAAACTCCATCTGGGCCAGCTGCTTTGTTCTTACTGAGCTCCTTGAGCATATTTTCCACTTCATCTCTAGACACCTCTATCCGCTCTATGTTGTTCTCTGGAATTCTTATTGTCTGGTTCTCTGAAGATTTCATTTTGTACAAACACACTTTGGAACTTTTCATTTAATGTTTCACACATTTCCTTTTCATTTTCCGTGAATCTGTTTCCCATTTTCAACCTCTGGATATTATCCTTTACCTGCAATTTGTTGTTTATGAATTTGTAGAATAGGCCCAGTTCTGTTTTACATTTATCCGCTATCCCTTTTTCAAAATTTCTTTCTGCCTCTCTCCTTACTGCTGTATAGTTGTTTCTCGCATCTTTGTATCGCTGGTATGTTTGGGGGTTTGGCCTCTTCCTATGGTGTGTGTGCACTTGTGTTCATTAGTGTCTTTGCTGCTCGTACCCCTCGGTTTGGGTACTAGTCTGGTGGCAAACTTTTGCACCTTCTTCAGTTTGGTTTGTTGGGACGGCCTGTGACTGTGTGTTGTTGGTGTGACTTGTTGGGACATGGTCTGCAGCTCTGTGGGTTGTTCGTGTCTCTTTCGTTCCTCATCTTCCTGCTTCACTCTTGTCCCTGGCTGCTGGTGCTGGGGCTGTTCTGGTCTTTTTCTCGTTTTCTCCTACACACTGTTGTGTGTTTTGTTTGTGCCTTTTGGCCCTACTGTTGCCAGGTTTGGGTTCCTGTTTTACTGGCTTGCCCTGCCTGTTGGCATTTTCAGGGTCTTGTGGTGTCCCTTCTCTGGAGTCTCATGTCGGACCCATAGTCTCTGATTTCCTGGCGAGCTCACTAGCATTGGGCGTTTTTCTGTTCGGCAGACGTTCCATCTCCTCCTTTGCCGGCTTGGGTTCCGGCTCGGCTTGCTCGTGGGTCGCATCTGAGATCTTCCTGCGGCTCCGCCTCTTCCTAGGCTCGGATGAACCTCGACAGGGCTGGTTAGGTTCTGCCTCGAGTCTTTCACCTTCTGTTGGTGGTCAGGTGGCTTTGTTGTGAGTGTCCCACCTGTGTGCTTCTTCTTGGCGGCAGTATGGTTTTTTTTTTTATGGTCCTTCCTTTTCCTTCTCTCCCTTCTTTGGTGGCTGCGTTTGTTGGTGCCAGCTTGTTTTTTTCTGGTGGAGGTTCGGGGCCGTCATCTTGCCACATACTGTTACCTCATTTCGTGTGGTGCTGGCAGAGCCGCTTCAGCTTGCTTTCGGTCTTGGTGTTGCATCTGCACCCTTTTGTAAGCTCTCTCGTGCATTGTTTCACCTCCGGCCTGCTCATGCACTTCCTGAGCCGTCCTGGTCTTTGGACAGCATGCTCTTTCTTCTTCTCTTCGGTTTGTTGTGGCCCCTTCGGTTCGGGTTTGTTTCTCGAAGGCTCTTTTCCTGTTGGCATTTGCCTCTAGGGGTCGGGTCGGTGAGCTTCCTGCTCTCCTCCGGCGCAGGAGTTTCTGCTCCTTCGGTCGTGGCGATAGGTTTGTTTGGTTGCAGCCATCTCCCTCTTTTCTAGCACAGAATGAGACTGCTGCTTTCCTGAGGGGTCCTTGGTTGTTGGTGCATGGTTGGTCGGGATGGGGGTGCATCGTGTTTTGTGTCCGGTTGCGGCCCTCCGCTGTTATTTGCGCGCCACGGCTTCTGTGTCCGGGACGCGCTTTGGATTGATTCGGTTCCCTTCTTTCCTGTTCGCAGGTGAGGGGTGTCCCAGGTCGTCTGAGATGTTATTGAGGCTTCCCAGCCTGCGTTCTATTCCCGTGCCCATGACATTCGTAGATTCACTGCTGTTGCTGCCGTCTTGGCGGCATGTCCTGGCTGACATTCGGGCATGGGGCTTTTGACGGTCATACAGGGGCCTGGCTGGTTGATATCTCGTGGTCGTTCCCGGGGCCCGTGCAGGCCAGTGTCGCCTTGGGTTGGTGGCTGCAGCCAGTTGTCTCGACTTTGAGTTGGGGAGTGTGCGGAGACCGCCTCCTGGGTACATCCCTCTTATTTCCTCTGTGGGTAGTTAGCTCCGGGGAGCTGTAGGGGCTCCCCCGAGAAAACCTGCATTGAATGTAAGGAAACACATTTTCTGGGTGAGACCTGGAGGCTCCCCGGCATCCCTCCCGCCCTTCCTCCGGTCGGCGTTTTTTGACATCCAGCCTCAGAACTGATGTTGGATAACTGGTGCGGTAGGTCTGGGGCTCCCCCTTCCCCCTCCCGGGGAGGGGGCAGTTGCGCAGACAGTGGTGCGGTGACGTGTGATGCCACGATTGTTTCTTTTAGGGTAGTTCTATCCACTTCTTCGGTTTGTGGTAGCAATTTTCTCCAGAATGGGGGTTTGCTTTGGGATGCTTGCTTTTCTGGGTGCCTGACCCGGTCGATGGCAGACATAGAATGCTCCCAACCATACGGGGGTTTCTATAGTCCATTGCTCCCCATGCCTCTCTGAGGGGGCCAGGTTCTGGCTTGTGGTCCCCAGTAGGCCCATAGAACTCCATACACATGACTGATGCCAAAGTCTGACATTAGCATATCAGCCTGGATAAGCTCCGGAGAGCCTCCGGGTCTCGCCCAGAAAATGCGTTTCATTACATTCAACGCTGGTTTTTTGGTCATGAGGTCAGTGTCTGGGGTCACCCACTGGGTTCACAATGGTCTTCAGGTTGACCCCATGGCAAACGAACCTTCCTTTTGAGCGTCTTCCGCGGCCTCACAGTCTGGAGATCAACCCAGTATTGGATGTAATGCTTCTTTATTTAGGCAACTCCAGCGTGGCCTAGTCGGATAGAACACGTTCTTAATCCGGATAGACCTGCGTTTACTTTTGTTGGTCAGATTCGTCTTGAGAAACGGTGTGTTGCTATTGTAGGGTGTTAAAATGATTCTCAAAGTTTTCCAACATGTCTTCATGTTTTCTAATGGATTCTGTGGGTTCTAATTTTGTGACTGTGTCCTTAAGAGAGCTTATTTCCTGTTGAAGGAGGCCGAGTCTGGAAGACAGATCTTGATTTTCTTTTAGCCCGGCTGTTGCTTCGGCTTGCAGGCTCGCAAATAGGGTCGACTGCTCTTCGGTTACAATCATTTGGCCTTCAAGTATCTGGGCTAATAACCTGAATCATGGAATATCAGTGAAGTGCTTGAAGTCTTGCAGGTTGCATGAAGTGCTTGAAGTAAATCGTGCAGTAATCACCCTGAAGTCATCAACACTGCCACTATATCTTGTGGTCAAGAAAGGTGTCCAGCAGCTGGACACCCTCATAAATACTGTCGATCAGTATCCTCCCCTGCGATAGCAGCATCATAGTAAGAACTGACAGTTTAAATGCGCACTCAGCACACGGTATATCCTTTCATGACCAAAGATCACATTCACTCCCAAAAATCTACCACTTATGGGCTATTCATGCCCGTGCCACTTCTTGGGTGGCTTAATCTTCATCAATCATCCTGTCTCCTCACTTAAGAATGAACCTTGTAGGTTTGAAACATTTTTTATACATTATAATAAGTGTAATATATTCTACAGTTAATTTTTCTTCACCACTTTTGTTTAGGTGACAGTGATGCAGAAAGGCCAGATGATGCCAAAACACTTGTATATCATGGGACTAGCTGCAGCAGAAAGATTTGAGTAAGTAATTATTCCTAATTTGTAGTTTGTTACAAATAATTATAAGCATTTGTATAGAAGTTAATGAAATTACTAGGGTTGAAATACCAAGATAGCCAATAATTATTGCTGGTAAGCCTGTATGTTGCAGTAGATAGCTTGGTATCTTCTTAGCTACATAGTGAATACATTATTTGCAGTCCCTGTGGTGCAGTGGTAACACACTCCCACCTCCCCTCTCCCCATCCGGCCCGTTGGCGCCGTGAGGGGGCTTGGTGGTCGGCTGCCGGAGTGTGATGCTCCGTGGGACAGTCCTGTCTTTTTGTGGCCTTATGCTCGTGCTGCTGTCTTCTCCAATTGTGCCGGATCGCTTTTCCTTTTCCTTGTGTTTAGTTTTTCTTCCCCCTCTTCTAGTATCTGCTTGTCGTTTCCTGCCGACCTTTTGTGTTTGGTTATTCTTTTGGATTTCTTCTATTTTGACACCCGGGTGCTTGAGGAGGCATACTCTTGCACCCGTAGAACTGTTGTACCCAACGTCGAGAGTGAGGGAACCTTTTATTGTCAATCCTCCTTTCGTCACTGAACCCGAGCTCGACGGACTGACGGTCCTTAAGGTGGCGTTTGTGGGGCGTATACTCACGACGCACTCCTAGGGAACCCCCAACATGATCGACGATAGCTTCTTGTTGGGTGTCCTGCCTCTAACTGTGGCTCCATGGTAGGTATGGGGCATATTTGTAAATGAATATTTTTCTTTTTGTACTTGTGTCAAATTCTGTTCCTCTTTTACCTTCTCAGGCTCGTGGGGTGGGCGACCAAGCCCCCAAGTCGGACCATGTTGGAAGACCAGGCTCTGTAGCCCCCGCTGCATTGGGCCCCGACCTTGCTCCTCCTTTGACCTTTCTGACTACTCCCCTCCCCTCCCTCCTCTGTGGTTGGGTCGTGCCCCAGGCCCCCAGTGGTGACCACCTCAGCCCCTGGCTCGGCTCAGTCTCTAGTTGTGACTACTGCGCCTTTTAACCCCTCTCTCTTCCTGGGGGTTCTCAACGTCGTCCTTGACACAGCTGCACTCGCTCGATTCCTTTCCGTTCTGATGCGTATCAAGCCTTGTTTGGTCCCGCTTTGTGGGCCAAATACTTTGATCTCCTCCCTCTTGATTCTGCACCTCCTGACAACTTCTCCCTCCATAGACACCTTGTTGATTCCGTAGATGCCTCTGTTACTTTGCACCCCACCCGTCTCGGTACACATGTCGTTGCTGCTCTTTCTCAGGATGCAGCTTCTTGCTTGGCCGCCTTGTCCTGCCTTGTACACACGTTCTTGTTCGGGCCTTCAAGAACGCTCGGTTGAATGCCAGTGTTGGCACTATTCTCCTCCCACCCCATGTTGCTACCGATGTTCAGAATATCCAGGACTGCCACGAAGATATTCGTCATATGGGCCATTCTGTCCTCCAGGTAGACTCGTTTGTTCGTCCCCCTCGTGGTCGTCACCGGCAACCCCTTGGGGTTATGAAGATTACTTTTGATGGTAGGACCCTTCCGCTCTGTCATTCTTGCTGATGCCAGGTGATCCATCCAGGAGTACATTCCCTCTCCTCAGCTCTGTAATAAGTGCTGGAGGTTTGAGCATGGTGCCCTCCGCTGCTCTGGAACTGTCTCTCTCTGTCCTTTGTGTGGGGGCGAAGGTCACTCTAAGTCGGAGTGCACTTCTCCCCAGGCTCGCTGCCTCAAATGCGGTGAGGCCCTTCCTACCTTCTCCCGTGCGTGTGTTCATTACAAGCTTGAGGCAGCCGTCCTCAACTTGAAGCACCGGGAACGTTTGTCTTTTCCTGAGGCAAAGTTTGCCAAGTTTGCCAGCTCCCACCTTATGCTAACGTCTCTTATGCTCGCGTGTTGTGCTCTCCCTCTCCTCGTCCTTCCCACCTTCCTCAGACTCAAAACCGTTTCCAGGCCTTGGACCCTGATACGCCCACTGCCCCCTCCTCTGTTCCTTTGAGTTCTGTCCCGAAGGGTCCCACTCCTGGTCCTCTGTCTGGGGTTCCCCTTCTTTCTGCCCGGTCTGTCATGTCTCCTGTGTCTTCTTCCTCGTCTCCCTCCGATCCTCCTTCCCATCCTTCTCCTCCGACTGTTGACTCTCCGCCGCCTGTCGGTGCGGGCTGATGTCCATCGCTCTTCTAACGGCCATCGTGTATGCTCTCGTTCTGCTTCTCCTGTTGAAACGCTGGAATCCATTGCCCAGTACGTAGTTGCTGGGACACCTGTCTCTTTGAGTCAGAAGCGTAAGGCTGGCTCCCCTCCTCCCTCCTCCCCGGTGGGTAAAAAGGATTCGCTTTCTTCCTCGGTCTCTTCTTCTGACACTCTCACTCCGTCCCCTCCTGTTTCGGTGGTTACGCCCCCTGTTCCTGCTATGGAGGTCTCTTTGGCCCCTGCTTCCCTCTCGGTTGCTGCCCTTGCTGAGGTGTATCCCCTGGTTTCTGCCCCTCCTGTTGCTGTCCTTGACCCTCGGTTATCCCCCCTTCTAACTCCTCCAGACCCTACTCGTCCGCCCCTGGTCGGTCCTCTAGCTCCCTTCGCTCCTTCTTTATTCAGTTTACCCATGCCCCCTAACCCTGACTTCGCTGACCCTGATCCTGCGCTTCTTTAACGTGCTGTATTTCCTTTTCGCCTTTGTTTCTTCATTGTTCTCTGTTGCTGTCCTTTCTCTTCTCGTCGATGTCTATTCTTCAATGGAACGTCCGTGGTTATTACGCCAATTTCCTTGAACTCTAGCTTCTGATTTTGCGGTTTTTGCCCGTTTGTGTCTGTCTCTCGGAACCGATGCTTGGTGCTCGTTCTGTCCGTTTTCGTGGCTATTTCTGTCCGTTTTCGTGGCTATTTCTTTCTCTCCCCCTAACTCTTCTGCTCTCTTGATTCGCTCCGATTTTCCCTTTGTCCCCTTACTTTTTCCTTCGCCTCTCCATTGTTCTGCTGCTCATATCTTTGTGAGGAAATGGTACATGGTTTGTTCCATTTATCTCCCCCTGAGTATCCCGCTTTCTCTTCTAGATCTGAAACACCACCTGGACTCCTTGCCGGAGCCTGTGCTCCTGCTAGGTGATTTCAATTGTCGTCATTCCCTTTGGGGGTGATGTTCTGACGAACACCCAGGGTCGCCTTCTTGAGCCGTTCATCCTCTCTTCTTCCCTGTCTCTTCTGAATTCTGGTGAGGCCACACATTTGGACTCTCGGACTCGCACCCTTTCCTGTCTTGATCTTTCTCTTTGCTTGTCTTCTCTTTACTTAGATTTCACATGGCAGGTTCTTGATGACCTCCATGGCAGTGACCATTTCCCCATCTTTGTTACCTTTTTCTTTTTTCACCCTTCCCTCTCCTTCCCTAGGTGGCAGTTTGCTAAGGCAGACTGGAACCTATTTACCCTCAGTGTTGCTCTCTCTCTGACCTCTCCCTTCTGCCTCTCCTTCGCTCTCTCCTTTTTCATGACACTGTCTTCGACACTGCCCTCCGCTCTATTCCTCGCTCTTCCTCTAGGGACCCACAGAAGTGCGTTTGGGAATGCAGACAATTGTATTCTGAGAATGCAAGTCTGGTGGAATGCAGACTGTGCTCAGGCTGTCCGCTGTAAGCGTGCAGCCTGGAAGAGACACCGCCGCCGGCATGCAACCGATACTTTTCTTTTATTTCGGAAGGCGAGTACGGTGGTCCGTAGGGCCATCAGTATGGCTAAATGTGAATGTTGGCTATCATATGTCTCCACCATTACGTCCGAAACTCCTCTGCCGCAGATCTGGAAGCGTATCTGCAAAATAGCGGGTAAGTTCGTTCCCGATGTCTCACAGGTCCTTCACCTCCGTGGTACTCTTGTGGCGGACCCGTTGCAGGTTGCTACCGAACTGGATTCCCACTTTTCTTCTGTTAGCTCTGGTTTTCATCTTCCCCAATCTTTCCTTCTTCGTAAACCTGTTCTTGAACTTTGTCTTTTGGATTTCTGTACTCATCTTCGCCTTCCCTATAACGATCCCTTCTCTCTCTCTGAACTTCAGTGTGCCCTGGCCCTCTGCAGTTCTATTGCGGCGGGTTCAGATGGCATTCATTATGAGATGCTTCGCCATCTCCCTCCATGCACGTCTTAGTATTTACCGAGTCTGTATAATCGGATCTGGGAGTCGTCGTCAGTCCCTGAGGACTGGCTTGATGCTGTTGTCCTCCCTGTTCACAAACCAGGGTCTCTTGGAACATCGCTTAAGAACTTTCGCCGTATTGCCCTCACAAGTTGTCTGCAAACTCTTTGAACATATGGTTAACATTCGTCTGTGGTTCTTTGAACACCATCACCACCTCTCCCCTTCTCAATTTGGTTTTAGCAAGTGCAGCACCAGCACAACAGATGTCCTGGTGAACTTGAAGGTCTATATTCGTACTGCTTTTGCTGTGATCTACGTTGTTGCCGTCCTTTTTGACCTGGAGAAGGCTTACGACACCACTTGGCAATATCATATTCTATCCCAGCTTCATTCTTTCGGCCTTCGTGGTCATCTCCCTCTCTCTCTCTCTCTCCGCAGCTTCCTCTCTCATCATTCCTTTCGGGGGAGGCTTGGTACAGCGCTCTCTGCCTCTTTTCAGCAATACGAAGGTGCCCCCCAGGGTAGTGTTCTGAGCACTACTATTTTTTCTGGTTGCCCTCAATGGTCTTCTTTCCTCTCTTCCTTCAGGCGTCTTCTCCGCTCTCTATGTCGACGATCTTACCATTTGCTGTCGGGGTGATGATTCGCCTCTCCTTCAACGCCGGCTTCAACTTGCGATTGATGCCGTGTCATCTTGGGCCCCAGATCATGGGTTCAAGTTCTCTACGTCTAAGACTTGTGCTATGAATTTTACTCGGAAGCGTGTCGTCCTTCGTCCATCTTTGTCACTTTATGGTCATCCCCTTGTGTACAGGGATTCCGCTAAGCTTTTGGGGTTAATCTTTGACACTCGTTTGTCTTGGTTGCCCATATCGCTTACCTCCGAGCTGAATGCTCTAAGGCCTTTGCCCTCCTTAAGGTTTTGTCCCGTACTTCTTGGGGAGAGGATAGATGCACGCTCCTCTTTGCATTCCTCTCTCATCCTGTCTAAACTCGATTATGGTTGCCCTGCATACTCGTTTGCTTCTCCTTCTGCTCTTCACCGTCTTGATGCTTTGCACCATGCTGGGTTGCGCCTCAGTTCTGGTGCCTTTCGGTAGACTCCCGCCCTCAACTTGTATGTTGACACTGGCTTCGTGTCTCTCCAGGACTGCCGTGATCGCTACTGTCTTCGCTCTCTGGCGCGGTCCATGCAACATCCTTCCTCTCGCTTCTGTCGTGCTTTGACTCTTACCCCTCCTGTAACTCCTGTTCCTCTTCATCGCCTCCCTCTTTCTGTCCGGCTGTATCGCTTACAGGACTCTTTCCGTTCGTATTTCTAATGTGTCAACTCGTATTGTTTCTTCCTTTCTCCCTGTGGAGAGTCCCCCTTCCAAAATTTTATTCTTCCCTGATCCGGATCACTGAAGATTTTACCCCTCCTACAGTTCTGAAATGCCTTTTCCTTGAGCAGTTTTCTTCACACTCCCACTCTGTTTGCATCTTCACCGATAGGTCTAAGTCTGTAGACAGTGTAGGCTACTCTGTTGTTTTTCCCAACCATACTTATATGTGTCGCCTCCTTTCAGAGACTAGCATCTTCACAGCGGAACTTTATGCTATTTTCTATGCTCTCCATCTGCTTTCTTGTTGTCAATCCTCCTTTGTGATTGTAGTTGACTCTCATAGTGCCCACATGGCTCTCGAGTCTTTTAATCCTGTTCATCCGGTGGTCATAGAGGTTCAACATTGGCTGTTTCTTATCTCTAGTAAATTTAAATCTGTAGAGTTTTGCCGAGTTCCCAGCCATAGAGGTGTTTCTTTAAATGAGCATGCGGATGCTGCCGCTCGGGAAGCTATCTGCTCTTGTCCCATCTCCCGTAAAGGTATTCCTTATTGCGACTTTTACCCATTTATTTATTCCTCCATCCTTGCCCATTGGCAGGGTTGTTGGTCTTCTGTTGTTGGTAACAAACTGTGTACTCTTAAGCGTTGTGTGTCCCCGTGGCCTTCCTCTTGCCGCCGTAACCGGCGGTGGGAAACGGCTCTAGCAAGGTTGTGTCTTGGCTATACTCGCTTAATTCATGGTCACTTAATGAAGCGCCGCCCGGCTCCTTATTGTCCAAATTGCATTGTCCCTCTTACAGTCGTGCATATCCTTGTTGAATGTCAGGACGAGCGTGTCTTGCTTTCCAACCGTCCCTCGCAGACACTTGTCCCTCGATAGACTTCTAAGTGAATCAGATACTTTTGATATCGTTCACCTTATGCGTTTCTGTCCTTGTATTGGCATCCTTGGTGATACTTAGCGCCCTCTGATTATTCCGCACATTACATTTGATGGTGCTACATAACCTTCTCGGTTTGGTGCCTTCTTTTGATAATTACTTCTAATATTTAGATGCATAATGTTTCTATTTTTTCTTTACCTACATTGTGCTATAAATGCTCTAATAAAATTGGGAACAATGTAACAATGATATAATTCATAGTTTTTTTTACCTTATTGCTTTGAAATTGCACTGAATCTATTGCTACCCAATCTCCCAATGTTTATGTACCCAATCTGAACAGCTTTACCATTGTGATCATTGCTGTCTTCTTATATGTGCTATCAATCTGCTGTATGGTGCCTATTAATTGTTTAAATTACCTATCAAGCCGTCACTGTAATCAGAGCTTTAATATACCAATGTGCCTTAATATACTTACTAATCTCTCTCATCTCATTTTTTCTTGCAATTATCTGTTATCATTTTATAAATTCTGCTAGAATTTACCTACTTAAAATTATCTGTTATATTAAGGACCTGCCCGAAACACTGGGCGTACTAGTGGCTTTACAAGATGGTAAATACTATGCTATGTTATGCTATGATATATAATGTAAACTAATTTTCCAAATGACTTATATGGCAATTTTCTCTTCACAGATTATTTTATAGGAAACTTCATCCTATACAGACATTGACAATGCAGACAAGAAGCAACAAAGATAAAGGTAAGAACTGTTATCAGACTAGTAAACCTTTAATAACAATTTTGCAAACATTTTCTGACTGTTTTACATGTAAGGGTGTAGTTATAATGCAGATACAAATAGTTGCACCACCAAACTACAACCTTTCATACAACCTATCCTTCCAAATATTGACCTGCCTTTGTTACCAGCTAGCCCATCCCAAGTTTTGATTTTCGCAGTTTACACTTCTCAATCTATTTTGGCTAAATCCAGATCATCGCTTGAATTACTGAAATAATGTATATAAAAACATAATACTAGACCTGATTTACCTGAGGGCCACTAACACTCTAGTGGCTTCAATGAAAACAGGATTACTGCTGCACAAGCAGGAGGTGCTGTCAATCACCGGGAAGCAACCAAGTAGCATAAATACAGAGATCTTGATCACCGCTACAATTTTGTCCCCATTCCCTCCAACACACTTGGTGCCTGGGGTAAAAGTGCTGCTAGTTTTTTGAAGGAGGTTCCAAGCTAATTGAAACAACTAGAGACCCTAGAGCTGCCAGTTTCCTCTTTCAGTGCTTTAGTGTGGCGATCCATAAAAAAATGCTCACTACATCCATGGTTCCTGCCCGCCATCTGAGGAGCTGGAGGAACTCTACAACCTGTGATGAGTAGCCTTGTACCCGGCATGTAACCAATGTTGTAACCCTTTTTGTGTAATGAAATTTTAAATAAAGTGTGTTTATATATATACTGTAGATATATATATATGTGTGTGTGTGTGTGTGTGTATATATATATATATATATATATATATATGTCGTACCTAATAGCCAGAACGCACTTCTCAGCCTACTATTCAAGGCCCGATTTGCTTAATAAGCCAAGTTTTCATGAATTAATGTTTTTTCGTCTACCTAACCTACCTAACCTAACCTAGCTTTTTTTGGCTACCTAACCTAACCTTACCCATAAATATAGGTTAGGTTAGGTTAGGTAGGGTTGGTTAGGTTCGGTCATATATCTACGTTAATTTTAACTCCAATAAAAAAAATTGAGCTCATACATAGAGAAAAGGGTTGCTTTATCATTTCATAAGAAAAAAATTATAGTAAATATATTAATTCAGGAAAACTTGGCTTATTAGGCAAATCGGGCCTTGAATTGTAGGCTGAGAAGTGAGTTCTGGCTACTAGGTACGACATATATATATATATATATATATATATATATATATATATATATATATATATATATATAATGTCGTACCTAGTACCCAGAACGCACTTCTCAGCCTACTATGCAAGGCCCGATTTGCCTAATAAGCCAAGTTTTCATGAATTATTATATTTTCTCTAATTTTTTTTCTTATGAAATGATAAAAGCTACCCATTTCATTATGTATGAGGTCAATTTTTTTTTATTGGAGTTAAAATTAACGTAGATATATGACCGAACCTAACCAACCCTACCTAACCTATCTTTATAGGTTAGGTAGCCGAAAAAGTTAGGTTAGGTTAGGTAGGTTAGGTAGTCGAAAAAACATTATTTCATGAAAACTTGGCTTATTAGGCAAATCGGGCCTTGCATAGTAGGCTGAGAAGTGCGTTCTGGCTACTAGGTACGACATTATATATATATTATATATATATATATATGTCGTACCTAGTAGCCAGAACACACTTCTCAGCCTACTATGCAAGGCCTAATTTGCCTAATAAGCCAAGTTTTCCTGAATTTATAAATTTTCTCCAATTTTTTTCTTATGAAATGATAAAGCTATCCATTTCATTATGTATGAGGTCAATTTTTTTTATTGGAGTTAAAATTAACATAGATATATGACCGAACCTAACCAACCCTACCTAACCTAACCTATCTTTCTAGGTTAGGTTAGGTTAGGTAGCAGAAAAAGTTAGGTTAGGTAGTCGAAAAACAATTAATTCATGAAACTTGACTTATTAGGCAAATTGGGCCTTGAATAGTAGGCTGAGAAGTGCGTTCTGGCGTACGTCTATATATATATTATATATATATACAGTATATATATATATATGTACCCAGTTAGACTATATTTAGACTCAGGAGTTATAAACTCCCAGTTGACATTATCAGCAGCAGTTATAAAATTATCTATAGTTTCATTGTGCAGCCTAAAACTTAACTCCCTTTACTCTAGAGGTGGTTTGCTAATGTTAGTTAAAAGAAATGTGGGGTAATGTGTGTAGTGCTATCGGTGATTATACCTGAAGTAAGCGGAGAGGTTATGTTTGTCCAGATGTGATCTAGAGTCGTGGCAGTGCTATCAGTGATTCTAGTAGGTCTAGTGATTAAGGGTATGAGGAAGCAGGAATTCATACAGTTGAGGAAGCTAACAGCAGTAGGGTGTTCAGGCTCGCAGAGGTCAATATTAAAGTCCCTGCAATAATTAGATGGTTTTTGTTCAGTCTGTTATCGAGTATTAGATTTCTAAGGTCCGAGTTGAATTCGGACACATCAGTGTTAGGAATTCTATAGACTGCACCCACAGACAGGACAGACTCGGCACCCTTGACTCTGAAGCTGGCGAAGATATACTCCCCACAGCAGTCTCTAGTTCTAATTACTTTAAAGCATGTTAGTTCTTGGTGGTAGTAAAGAGCAGTACCACCACCTCTCTGAATTTGACGACAGTTGTGAATTGCCGAGTAGTTAGGCATGATAGAGTCGAGTAGTATCCTCTTTCAACCACGTTTCAGTAAGTATAATAAAAGAGAATTTGTTGTCAATAGTTTCACTCAAGGCACTAACATCATCGAAGTGTTTACCAGGGGATCTAACGTTCAAGTTGATTACAGAGATATTGTGATTGTGTTAATACATTGTTTCCATCATGTGCTGTAAAATATCTGCAAGTTAGATCATTAAAGTGATGATTGTCATAGATAGTGGATAAGAGGTTTAGTTCTGGGTCTATACTTGTCTGCATAAAAAGGCTGGTTGTTGGAAAACAAGGCAAGAATGGCAAATTAACAAAATAGAAATTATGCTATAAAAGGGGGAAAAATATATAAACAAGACTATACAAAACAAACACAAAATGAACAACAAAAGAAAAAATGAGTAGCTTGCAAGGGGCTTACAGGTACTCTCAGGTACACTGTAAGTAATAATTTGCATTTTGAGACACAGGCAAAGCCAGGGGTACAACGGAGTAAGGGAGTAAGGCGAGGCTAGGCAACCTAGGTAATAAATGAAATCAAAGGCAACATGAAAAGCACATGGAATACCATCTCTAACATCCTGGGAACTAAACAACACTCCCACAACCAGATAACACTCTAAGGATGGCCTTACACTGTCATCTGACTTAGAAATGGCGAATGAATTTAATAGCTTCTTTTCATCGATTGGTGCTAACCTTGCAAGTAAAATCCCACAGACTCAGACACATATCAACACATATCTCTCAGGCAGCTATCCAAACTCTCTTCTCCTCTCACCAGTCAGCCCGTCAGATGTTGTGTCCATCATACTCACTAAAAACGAAAGCTGGGAACATCAGTGAAATCCCATCCGTTGTATACAAGAGCGCCTCCCATGCCCTTGCCCCACCTATAGCTCTGCTGTTCAACAAATCCCTTGAGTGTCATACCTTCCCTGATATCCTTAAAAAAGCAAGAGTAACGCCAGTTCATAAAGGAGGTAATCCGGCAGACATAAACAACTATAGACCAATATCGAACCTACCCATACTATCAAAAATATTTGAAAAAATTACCTACAAACAGCTCTACTCCTATCTCGTAAAATTCGACATTCTTAGCCCCTGTCAGTTTGGCTTCCGCTCTCAAAAGAGTACCAACGATGCAATTATTAGTCTCCTTGATATAATTTACTCAGCCCTTGACAAAAATAAGTTTCCAATTGGACTCTTCATTGACCTGAGAAAGGCCTTTGATACTGTTAATCACGATTACCTCTTATGTAAACTCCATCATTATGGAATCCGAGGCCATGCACTGGACTATATCCAATCCTATCTTAGTGATAGACACCAATGTGTAGCCATCAATAATATAATCTCTCCCATTCTACCAATAACCGTTGGAGTGCCACAGGGCAGCATCTTGGGACCTCTTCTATTTCTTATATACATTAATGATCTGCCTAATGTCTCTAACATTCTGAAACCTATTTTGTTTGCTGATGATACTACCCTCATCTACTCCAACCCCAACCCACATACACTAAATGATGATGTTAATAATGAACTAAAAAAAGTCCACTTATGGATGTCAACCAACAAACTAACACTTAACATTGAAAAGACCTACTACATCCTATTTGGAAGCAAATCTACAAATGCAATTCAGCTTCAGATTGACAATGTAAACATTAGCAATAAAAATGATGGAAAGTTTCTTGGCATATTCCTAGACAAGAGACTCAACTTCAGTACCCACATACAACACATAACTAAGAAAGTCTCTAAAACAGTTGGTATACTCTCCAAAATCAGATATTATGTTCCTAACTCTGCTCTCATCTCTCTATATTATGCACTAATCTATCCCTATCTCAACTATGGTATCTGTGCATGGGGTTCAACCACTGCAAACCACCTCAAGTCCATCATCACCCAGCAAAAATCTGCTATCAGAATAATATCAAATTCTGCTTTCAGGCAACACACAGCCCCCTTGTTTAACTCCCTAAACATGCTAAACATAATCTCACTCCACAAATTCTCTTGTGTCAACTACATTTACAAAACCCTGTTCTTAAATGCAAATCCTTGTCTGAAACTCTTCCTGGACAGATGTAATAGGACCCATTATCACCACACCAGAAATAAATATCTCTTTGATATCCCCAGAGTTAAACTTAATCTGTGTAAACACTCTATGCAAATAAAGGGACCCAGTTTATGGTACTCACTCCCTACTGAATTGAAAAGCTGTCCAACTTTTACATCATTCAAAATCAATACTAAAAAGTACCTAATTACATCTTCATAGTTTTTCACTTTTTGCCTTAAATTTGCACTATCAATTGCTACCCAATCTCCCAACCTTTATGTTCCCAATTTGAACATCTTTACCATTGTGATCATTGCTGTTTTCTTATATGTGCTGCCAATCTGTTGTATGGTGTTTATAAATCTTGTTTATCTGTATCTTTTGCTTCCCAGTCTCCCAATCTTTATGTACCCAATCTGAACATCTTTACCATTGTGATCATTGCTGTCTTATATGTGCTGTCAATCTGCTGTATGGTGTCTATTAATCTTGTTTAAATTACTAATCAAGCTGTCAATGTAATCAATCAGAGCTTTAATATAACAATGTGCTTTAATATACTTACTTATCTTTCTCATCTCATTTTTCTCTTGTAATGTATCTTTATCATTTATCAATTCTGATTGAAATTACCTACTTAAAATTATCTGCTAGATTAAGGACCTGCCCGAAACGCTGCACGTACTAGTGGCTTTACAAGAATGTAAATACTGTACTATCCAATGTATTCTCACAAACCCAATGTACCTTCTTGTATATATATAAATAAATAAATAAATAAATAAATATATAAATAAAACAAAGAAAAAAGTTGAATAATAAACATAGGCAAATTTAAGCTAAAGATTATTAACTATAAGTAGTTTAGTTATGATCGTATAATTAATAAGACCTAAAGAAATATTAAAGCACTCGGTTAGTAAAGTCCAGAAAATTGTAGATTGGAACTATGTTAGCCTTTATGCACACATCAGCTATGACTCCTGTACACAGGGATGCCTGAAAAATTGGTTGAAGTGGAATGCTGAGCTCAGGTGCACATTCTCTCAGAACCCATGGTGAAACTCCATCTGGGCCAACTGCTTTGTTCTTACTTAGCTCCTTGAGCACTTTTTTCACTTCGTCTCTACACACCTCTATGTACTCTATGATGTTCTCTAGAATTCTTATTGTCTAGTTTTCTGACGATTTCAATTTGTACAAACACACTTTGGAACTTTTTGTTTAATGTTTCACACATTTCCTTTTCGTTTTCCGTGAATCTGTCTCCCATTTTCAACCTCTGAATATTATCCTTTACCTGCAGCTGTCTTTTAATGAATTTATAGAAAAGGCCTGGATCTGATTTACATTTTACTTGCTATATCGTTCCCAAAGTTCCTCTCTTGCTCTCTCCTTACTGTCGTGTAGTTGTTTCTCGCATCTTTGTATCGCTGGTACGTTTGGGGGTTTGGCCTCTTCCTATAATGATTGCATGCTTGTGTCTTTGTCTCTGACCGTCTCTCAATTTCTGTTGATCCAACCCTGTTTCCTAGGTTTGCATCTCTGTTTTGGTATGAATGTTTGTGTGCCTTCATCATATCGCAAAATTTGGCATGCATCTCATTTACTTCCTAGCAACAAGTCTGTCAAATTATATTCATTAGAAAATTTACTAAGTTCCCCATAGTGTCCTCTCTTGAAATCAAGTTTATCAGATGTTTTAATGTCCCCATTCTCTACTAGATTATATCACAAGGCATATTTAATGTCCAACAGGACATGATCACTCTTAACCAGAGGAGGAAGGTACTGGATGTTAAATACCTCTTCTTCTTTCCTGGTGAATATTAGATCCAGTACTGATGGAACATCCCCCTTCCCTCATTCTTGTGGCCTTTTTTGACATGTTGATACACGAATGTCTTCAAAATGAGGTTTACAAATCTTCCTGTTCAAATGTCATCCATTCTTGCTCTGTAGGCCTCCCAGTCTATTTCTTTAAAAGTTGAAGTCCCTCATTACCAACAGTTGGGATTGATCTTTGTCTGCTCTTACGATAATTTCTCGTTTTCCTGCCCGAAACGCTTTGCGTAAAAGTGGCTTTAGGCATTGTATGTACTAGCTCTATCTATTAATCCAACAAACTTTGTAAAATCTCTTGTATGTATGTACCTTACCTAAATAAACATTTATTTATTTATTTTATTGTTTGTCATCCAGTTCTTCCATTGTCCATGTGTTGCTTGCTGGTGGGCTGTAGGCATTTAAAATTATCAGCTTATCCTAATTTCACACCTGCAATGCCAATATGTCAACATGTCGAGGGTTTTCAATTATTAACTTTCTTACCTTCAAATGTTCTTTCATCAGTACAGCCACTCCTCCCCCCCCTTCATAGTTGTCCTGTCATGTCTCCAAACTGAGTAGCCCCTTGGGAATACCACCTCGTTTAAAATATTTTCTTCAAGTTTTGTCTATTAAAAACACAGTTGTTGCATGTACAGTATATTATTCATTGGCATGCATTTATGGGTTTTCACACCACTAAAACAGTTTCAGTAAAGTAGTTATATTTATAAACATTGCTGTGAATGGTTTAAATTAACTAAAATGTATTTGTCCTTACTAATTATTGTTGATGTTCATCAGGTGCATGCCAGGAATGCAGCAGAGCAATGGCTACAGTAGTGTGTAAACAGTGCACCTCACAGCTATGTCAGGCATGCTTTCAAAAGGTTGGTCTAACACTGCACACATGCTCTTAATGAAATATTTAATTAATAAAGATAAACTCCAGTTTTGATTGTCATGAATTGCCTCTTTCTAGTAGAAAGGTGACTCACAGATAGTGTCTCGCTGAGATGTCTCCCTACTACTGGGTCACCTCACCTGCAGAAGTCTTGTCACTTAGTTGAGACCAGAGCCACAATCTTCTTATTCTTATTCTTCTTTTTCGTCTTCGTTGTCGTCGTCGTCGTCGTCTTTTTATTATTCTTTTATTATTCATCTTCTTCGTCGTCTTATTCTTCTTCTTATTCTTATTCCAATTCTTCTTCTTCTTCTTATTCTTATTCTTCTTTATTATTATTATTATTATTATTACAGTATTATTATTTTGATTCTTCTTCTTCGTTGTCTTATTATTCCCCTAATTATTATTAGACAAATAAATCTCTCTTCCTTCGCGCTCTACGCATCAGCAACCCTCAGTTTCTTGATTCTGAAATTTCCTTTATCTACAAATCATTCTCTCGCCTTGGTTATCCTTTGCATTTCATCAACTGTGCCTACTCTCAAGCTAAACGAAATTTCTTTCATCCTAAGCCTGCTTCCAACACTAGTAGCACTGTACTATGCCTTCCCTTCATATCTGAACTCAAAACTTTTACCAATACCTTTCGTCCTCTTGACATTAAACTCGCCTTTCGTCAAACTAACACACTTCATAGCAATCTAGTTCACACTGCTCCTCCTGCTTCTAATGCTGCTGGTGTCTACTCTATTTCCTGTTCATCTTGTCCTCTCCAATACTTTGGCGAAACTGGCTGTACACTGAATGACAGACTTAAAGAACACAAGAGAAGTGTTAAGTCTGCAGACACTAACAATGCTCTCTTCTGCCATGTGAGGGATTCTAATCATCCCATTGATTGGTCTTCCTCCAAAATAATCTTTCCTGCCTCTACTCTACACAGACGCCGTCTTGTAGAATCGGCTCTTATACACAATGTACCCAACATGAACTTGAGTCCTGGCTTTGTTGCTGTGGACTCTTCCCTTTCACAGTATATACTCAAATGCTCAAATCTTTCTAACAAACGTGACTTAACATAAGCTTACCCCTTCCATTTATCTTTCTTTCTCTTTCCTTTTCTTTCTCTCTTCTCCCTTGTTCATTGTCTTCTACGCTCCCTTGCTATCCTCCTCTTATTCCTATTACTATCTCCTTTGGTGGTTATAATAGGAGCTGCCTCATATGGGCCAATAGGCCTTCTGCAGTTCTCCTTATTATTACTACTATCCCCTACACCTTACTTTCCTCCTCAGCTCTCTCTTGCCTATTTATTTGCCTGTCTCTACCTCCTCATCACAATCGACTTGAGAATGGTCCAGGACGGACCGAAACGTCGTCGTTCCTTCAACTTCTAGTGTGTGGTCTGGTCAACATACTTCAGCCACGTTATTGAGACTCATCGCCTGCATATACATACATACATACATACATACATACATACATACATACATACATACATACACATATACATATACATATACATATACATATACATATACATATATATATATATATATATATATATATCAGATATATATATATATATATATATATATATCAGATATATATATATATATATATATATATATATATATATATATATATATATATATATATATATATATATATATATATATATATATATATATATATATATATAAATAATATAAAAGTACATAAACTCCACACCCCATAAGTGACTCGAACCCATTCTGCCAGGAGCACTATGCAACTGGTGTACAGGAGACCTTAACCACTCGACCATCAGTGAACGTACAAAAAGATGATGGTATCCAAGGCTATTTGCCCATCATCCCGACGGCACTTTGATGGTAATCTTGGGCATAGTTATTTTATCGTTGTATCATTTTATCATTTATCATTTTATAGCCCTCGTTTTGTGGGGCCACGTGAGCAACACAAATGCGAACAAGCAGTGCTTGTTCGCATTTGTGTACACCATTGGCTCTATGGGTTCGAGTGGCTTCTAGGGTGTGGAGTTTTCAGTTGCATATATGCCGGGGGACCATTCAGGCTTGTTCACACTTGTATTAATATATAAGTAAATATATAAATACAAAAGTATATATACAGAGGCCCACTTAAGTTGTCCGAAAATTTGTTTCACGATCAGGGTTGGGGTTTCACGTTTCCTGAACTAAGTTTGGGTAGTGAGGAAAGGGTCCGCCAGGCCTCGCACTGGCCTGGGGTGGCAAGTGGTTGGGTAGTAGGTGGCCTAGTTTGCCCATTGACTGTGTTGGGCATCACTCTAGTACCTTCTATCCTGTGACTGTCACAGATTCACGGCCCATAGTTCCCATTGTTCTGATGTATTACGAGACTGTAGTGTTCATTCCGTGACTGGTTGGATATATCTGTACAACATTTTAACGTCTGTGCACCATGTTGGCTCCAAATGCACGCCTTGTCAGTGATGGCTGACTGGTTTGTGGATGGGCAGGCATGGGAAAATGGGATGGCTGGCAGGCATCCCATTTTTGGGAGGGGTTCTGCTCACCAACCTGCTAACCTACAGGGTTAGCAGGTTGGTGGGCAGAACTTTACAGATGGATTGGTGGCTGACTCGCGGGAGTGCTAGCTAGCAGGCGGTGAGTGGGCACTTCTTTTTTTAAATTGGTGGATGGATTGGTGGCAGGTTGGAAGGCAGGCGGGGTGGGTAGATCCATGGGCAGGGAGGATGGCTGGATTCGATGTAGGTTCGAATCCTCGTCACGGCCCTTGTGGATTTGTTAATTTGATGCATCATGCTATTGTGATTTCTGTGTGTAATGAAGTAAGGGCGAAGAGGGAGAACGGCCTATTGATATAGCTCTAGTGCATTGGGGAGTTGTGTAAAAACCTGGTTTGTGTCTCGGAGAGGCTGCAGGATCCAGTAACTTCAGTAGAACTTCGGTATCAACTCTTTGACCATGTCGTAGCTCAGTCGATAAAGGCAGCGTTTGGAATGATCTCGGACGTAGGTTCAAATCCTCGTCACGGCCCTAGTGGATTTGTTCATTTGTTCCCCCCCTCTCTAGTGATTTTGTTGGATTGCTTTTTTGTACCATTTTCCTGGTCTGCCTACCCCCTATCACTTTATAAAAAAAAAAAAAAATTGATTTCTTCTTCAATCCTGCTCTCATTTAGACGTTTTGCCTCGACGAGGTTCAGCTTTAGCTTCTCGGTCTTCTTTCGAAAGATCTCATCTTAACTACCATACTTTCCCTTCCTCATCACTTTGTAATTTTCTAGCATTCCTTAGTACTTCTTCCATCTGTTTGGCACCGTTTAGGGTGATCCTCAAAAGTCGATCTTTGGCTTTTACGTACCTGCCAATTCTCATGTAGTCGCGCACATTCTCTATAGTTGTAAGACCTTCCACTAGTTCAACATTTTTATCTACTACTTTCTCTTATTGTATAGCTCTATCTGACCTAGATGTTATCTACTTTTCTTTGCAACCAAAAATTATTAGGGACTTCAATCAACTGTTTTGCACCAATTTAGGATTTGATGCAAGTTCCTTTCTGACTTCCAGCCTAATGTTTGTTTTATCTTGGTTGCTGTATTCTTTGGCTTCCTTTACTGCTTCTTCTATTTTTTCGTTCTCCTTGGCCACTTGTGCATAGGTGAGCTGCATATCCTTCTTGCAGTGTTCTGTTCCCTGTGTAACTTCCTCCATCTGTACTGACAAAAGCTGTTTCTCCTGTTGAATTCCTTTACCTAGCGTATTGTAGTCATTTATGTTTAAATTTTTCTTTAACTTATTCCAAAGCTATTTTTAAGAGATTTTCTTTTTCCATGTCTTTGCAACTTGCTTCCAATTGAATCTTGTCCTTGCAGAAATCTTTCACTAACCCCTCAAGACCTAATATTTTGCTACTCAAGTGGTCAATACTTTCTTTCAATTTGCTGATTATTTCTACATGATAGTTCACTATAATATCTAATTTTGCCAACTTGTTGTGTAGACTGCTTATATCAATGTTTTCTTCATTGAAACCACCAAATTCTAGCTCTGTTTTGTTTTTCGTCTTGCTGGCAGCCATCTTGAATGTCATCATCTGCACTGTGAACATTAGGGCAACTATTTATCATCCAGTTTTTTCGCTTCAAATGGCACATAAATGTTATCTTGCCCATTTTTCCAAAGCACTGCATCTCTATGTTCCTTGGGACACCACTCACTATCATGCACGCGGGACGCGGGACTTGTGATCCTGTGGTCCTGGGTTCGATCCCAGGCGCCGGCGAGAAACAATGGGCAGAGTTTCTTTCACCCTATGCCCCTGTTACCTAGCAGTAAAATAGGTACCTGGGTGTTAGTCAGCTGTCATGGGCTGCTTCCTGGGGGTGGAGGCCTGGTCGAGGACCGGGCCGCGGGGACACTAAAAGCCCCGAAATCATCTCAAGATAACCTCAAGATCATCAACCTGTTCTACAATACTTAGGAATTGTGAAATATCATACAAACATAAGAACAAAGATAACTGCAGAAAGCCTATTGGCCCATAACATAAGAACATAAGAACAACTGCAGCAACAAACAACAAAGGCAACTGCAGAAGGCCTATTGGCCCATACGAGGCAGTTCGTATCTATAACCTCCCAATCCCACTCTTATACATGTCCAACCCACACTTGAAACAATCGAGGGACCCCACCTCCACCACGTTACGTGGCAATTGGTTCCACAAATCAACAACCCTGTTACTGAACCAGTATTTACCCAAGTCTTTCCTAAATCTAAACTATTCCAATTTATACCCATTGTTTCGTGTTCTGTCTTGTGTTGATACTTTTAATACGCTATTAATATCCCCTTTATGTCCATTCATCCACTTGTAAACCATCATGATGTCACCCCTAACTCTTCGCCAGTGCTTTGTTAATCTTTCTTCATATGAAAGATTTCTAATTTGGGGAATTAACTTGGTCATC